TGTGAATGTATTGATGTGCATATGCATTTAAAATATAATATTTAATATGTATATATATATATATATGTATATACATTAATTATACGCATATACATCTATATATATATATATATATATATATTTAGACGATAAATGTTTATAGTAGCTATGATGATGAATAACAGATATTTTTATATCCATGCAAAAATACATACGTACAGACATAAATAAATATATATTAAGCAATTCTATTTATTATGAAACAACAAACAACTATAGCATTAATGACAATGTAATAACATTATTCTTATTCTTATTCTTATTCTTATTCTTATCCTAATGAATATTATAATTATTAATTATTATTTTTAATTGCTGTATCTATAATAAATGTGTCTCTCTTTCTTAGTACGTTTCTGCAACTGTTTGTCTCTTATATATTTATCCTACATTTATGCTTTTCTCATTATAATATTATTAGCGGGTTCACGTACCCTTATTATTGTCATTTATATATTTTATTAATCCTTACAAGCAAAACAAGAAAATACTGCAAAGACAATGATTTAATTATTTTCAAGTTTTTATTTAGGAGTGTATATAGCAGTAAAAGTAAAGGTAAGAATAATAATATTAAGCCGAAGAACAGCAACGTATCAATAACCAAAGTTGTACTAAGAATAATAGTAAAGGAAACAAAAAGAAAAGGGATAATATTAACAATATTTAAAGTCTTCTGCATGCAAGTAAACATTATTCTACGCAGGACTTATATACTTATAAATAACCCCCTCTTCATATATATATATATAATGTTTATATTGTTTATCTATGCTAATTATATCTTTTAAAAGCATTCTTTATTATTAATAACATTTACTTTAGTTAGCTCTTACACCTAAACTTGAATATATTTTATAGGAATAACACTGTCTTGCATACATTTTTCTGTCTTCGACACATTACCTAATTTTAAAGAATAGTACTGAAGGGGAGATAGATATAACTTTATTGAAGTATTTGTTTGTTGCTTTTTCTGCAATTTATTATCTTGAAGCTTTATTATTTAATTTATATCTAATCTATTATTGACTTTCACTTACTAACAACCCTCAAATTCGTTGATTTTTTAATTGAATTAATATAATACAATTAAACTGATTAATTTAAACATAACTAATCCTTCAACATAAAGCTGTTCTACAAGAAATATAAAACCTTTCTTCTGTTGTTTATAGAGGGTAAGCGCATGCAACATCGAAAGAAAAAGTTTTCTCTAAAATATTTCAATAATAGTTTATTTGCTTCACTCTCAAGAATTAAATTCATTATTAATAATGGTATTTTACTATTTCTGCAACTTTTATTGTTTTTTTTCATGAATTGAAGCAGTTGTTTGTGTGTATAATGCAGAAATTGAACGGAAACGAAGAGGAGAGTTTGCAGAAGTTGAATAGGCACATTTCATTAAAATAAAATAAATCCTGTTGTTTTCTTTTGAATCAAAGCAATATTATATCTTTATATTCTTCAATGTTTGAATTTAATTCAATTTTCATGCATTTTTATTGCAATGTTTGTTGCTGGAATCGACAGAAAGCGCTGAACGGAAGCCACACACACAACCGCCGCTGGTGATACGGCTGAGTTGGTTTGTTTTTGCATATTTTCATTCATAATACATTAATTTTAGTATATTTTGCATCATATTAACCTTTTATTTCGCATTTTAACTCGCTTTTTCTGTCTGGTTTCCAC